TCTCTCTTTCTCTTTCTCTTTCTCTCTCTCTCTTTCTCTTTCTCTTTCTCTCTCTCTCTTTCTCTATCATTCTCTCTTTCTCTCTCTCTCTCTCTCTCTCTCCCTCTCTAAGTCGCTCTCTCTTTTTCACATTTCGTAAAGACCTTGTCAACACCGTCGACGACGGGCGCGAGCCTCTTGCGAGTTTGCGGTCAAATTTTACAATGATTCTTAATTCTGTGAGCTGACACTGGAAAGCGAAATCGGGTTTATTGTTTCCCCTTGCCAATGGCGGGCCCTCTGCTGGAGTTTGAGACCGAAATGTTTCGGACATGTTGATCGATATACAGTGACTACTTTGAGGGGGAAAAGTTATCGGGGCCCTCAGAAAGTCATCCAATGTCATTTTTTCGGCTAAAAACGCCTTACTATACATGGTCGTTTTTTTCGGCTAAAAACGCCTTACTATACATGGTCATTTTTTTCGTCTAAAAACGCCTTCCTATACATGGTCGTTTTTTTGGGCTACAAACGCCTTCCCATACATGGTCGTTATTTTTGGCTAAAAACGCCTTCCTACACATGGTCGTTTTTTTCGGGTTAAAACGCCTAACAATACATGGTCGTTTTTTTTCGTTTAAAAACGCCTTCCTATACATGGTCTTTTTTTTTCGGCTAAAAACGCCTTTACTATACATGGTCGTTATTTTCAGCTAAAAACGCCTTCCTATTCATGGTCGTTTTTTTCGGGTTAAAATGCCTTACTATACATGGTCGTTTTTTTCGGGTTAAATCGCCTTACAATGCATGGTCGTTTTTCTCGGGTTAAAATGCCGAAACATGGTCATTTTTTTCCGGTGAAACGCCTTACTATACATGGTCGTTATTTTGGGCTAAAAACGCCTTCCGACACATGGTCGTTTTTTTCGGCTAAAAACGCCTTACTATACATGGCGTTTCACTAGTCTACACTCCGTGTTAAATAGCCTGGCTCTGTTGCTTTTGTAAAATCCACAACGAATCGAAGCACACAGTCATTGTGGAACAAGTTAGCCACGCTCACACCAATGAACCGGGTGGGCCGTGATGGACAAGATGACACCGCCTGCGACAATTGTATTCATGGAGTGGCTTAGTTTATTTTCGGCAAAACAAATACTTGGAAACACTTGATCAACAATCAACATCAATTTTTGTATTGAATAAAATCTTGGGGTTACGTGCACGCACAGACACGGGCACAGACACAGTATTCACCGTTACTGGACAAATAAAAACACAGTATTCACAGTTACTGGACAAATAAAGCCAATTTGTTTGCTGAAGTGAGCTAGCACAACATGGTGAATTTGTTTGATCGTATAGAAGAGTGCTGCCTGATGCTGGCAAAATCTTGGAGTCTCATAATTACTGTGTGTGTCCAGACAGCTGAAGAATGTTGGCGGGATCTTTGTGTTGTGACCGCAAAAGTACTGTGTGTTGTTTTTGGTTGACACAGCACGATCACTGGCATAAAACGTCATTCATTCAATCATTCGTGCCCGGATAAACTTGTCTTACTGTAAGTCGTCGAAGCCTTTCAACCTAGCTGCTAACAAAGAGATGCGCTTGTTTGCAACATATCGCTCAGCAGACATTAAGTGTACGTTCAAAGTGCTGTGACTATGTGAAAATGTACACAAGACGGACAAAAAAAATGGCGTGTAGTATTCCATCAACATGTAACTTTTTACCAGTGGAGTGTGGCTCACAGATATGAAACAATGTAGTGCAGCAAAACAATCATCTGGACTGGCACCCGAGGTGTACAAGGAGATTTTAGGGTGGTCCAGTGCCACCTCAGTACCCTCTCCGGCTCCGCCAATGCTTACTCTACAATGAAGTCATCAAGCCATGGCTCAAATCTTCAATGAAACAGTGAAAAAACTGCAGGCTGCTAAACATTCACAGGACATCATATGGACAAATGTCTTGGGACATAAAATAACTCCTCAATAAGAAAATCCCTCGGCCTGGCCTTCACTTTTCATTTCTGGGCACCCAAGCAAGATGGATTTAGTCACGTTAAGAGGAGTTGAATGGGAAAGAGTGACTTTTTGACTAATCCGTGCCACACTCAAAAGACAAAGCCAAAAACATTACGATGAGAAATAAATGGTGAAGCGCTTATCTTCTTTCTACCCTTGAATGTTGTCAAAGCCAAAAAGATCTGTGGGAACTCTTTATTAACATTCAAGACTACTCTAAAATTGCTTCTTTTCCATGTGGGCTTAATACTAAATAGTGTTGACATGACTTTTCTATCGTGTCTCAGCTATTTTAAATGAAGATCCATCCTGCTCTGTTTTCACATGATCTCCCCTGTTGACAAACAAGCACCGAATCTGAGACACCTTGAAAGCGTTGTCCTCTTTGGCCAAGGTGAGCACAAAACGACTCACGCCGGCGTTGGGACTCAGAGAGAACATGCGTGCTCTGCTGCAGCCTTCGGGTACGGGGCAGTGTAAATCGTCCACGAGGAAGCGCATGATCATGCACAAGTAGGCCCCGTGGGAGACCACCAGGGCATGGGCGGGGAGGTCGTGCGCCTCTTCTCCTTCCACGCGAGGTGCCGAAGAGCGCTCGTCCTCACCTCCGCTGGCCCACTGTTGGCGCCCGACTTGGTGGACCATTTTGAGCCAAAACTCTTTGACACGCTGCTTCACCTGAACACAAAACAAAACTTTTGTTTTTATAGGTGATGTGGGTGACTGAAGACCCCCCCCCCCCTCTCCAAAAGTTAAGGCAAAACCCTTCATCACTCTCCAGGAGGTACGAGTGTGTGTGTCAAAGACAACAATCGAAACAAAACTTCATCACAAGTTTTCAACCATTAGTGGGCCTGAAAAACAGGAAGGCCAGATTTGCATGAACAAAAAAAAAAAAAAAAAAAAAAAAAGCCTTTACACTTGTGGAACAACATCCTGTGGGCCGATGAGACAAAAACATGTGAAGGGAAGACTACAAAGTAGGAAAGGTTACCAAGTGTTATGATTTGTAGTCCATGTGTTACTTTCATGCGGATAAATTAAAAAAGGAGGAGGAAGCGTTTCTTAAATAACGGGCAGGCAGGAATTGGGGATTTCACGTTTAATATTATTCTACTGGTAGTATTATCATGAACTCTGAACACAATCATTATTCTTGACTTCTGATTTGAAAACTAGTGATCCATCCATTTGTTGTGTGCTGTGTATGTAATATGTGGAGGGGATTAAACATTTATATGGTTTCCCAAAATTCATAACGGCCCTCCAAGGGAAAGCATAACTACAATGTGGCCCGCGACAAAAATTAGTTTCACACCCCTGTTGTACACCATTTTTATAATATGACATGCACAGAAAAAAAAACAAAAACTGAAGAATGAAAGAGAATGAACCGACAACAACAAACAACAAAGTGTATGCAGGAAAAGTAGTTCAGATTGCACGACTGTCTGTGTCTTATGTGTTGTGTTGTATTATTTTGTCATTTTATGTTGTTATGTTATTAACTGTTCTTTTGATGGCGGCACAGGCACCCGCAGCGGGTCCTCTTGTTGTCTGGTTGAGAGGGAAGAAATTTCATCTGTGCTGTATGTTGCACATACAGCGCATTTGACAATAAAGTTGTTCTTGACTTGACTTGACAAAATGTCAATTATGCATTTTAACAGCAGAAGCTTGAATGGCAACTGAACCATCATCACTAAATGGGATTTATACCATCACAACCTACTGTGCATGACTTTTGAAAAATAACGACCAGGAGTCAAGACTACTAATGTCATGTGAAAATTGACGTACATTCGGGGAATCTGCAAGTTCCTGCGCGTACGATGTATGCAGGGCAAGTAATTGTACAAGCATGCTAATTAGTGTACGTCGAAAAACACAGAAATAGAGAATGAAACTTACACACACGCACACACACACACACACACACACACACACACACACACACACACACACACACACACACACACACACACACAATGTCTTTTACTTTGCTTCCTCCATCTTTCATCTTTATTACTTTTATCCTGTCTACAAGAGTTAAAGCTTTTCTTTTCTTAACTCCTTGTGACGAGCTTTGGTCTGCAAAGGTCCGTTTTGTAGCCATTTTATTGCAAGCAATGCAACGTTTGTGCTGTGTGAAACTACGAGTGACATTTCTAACCACGTGCTAACAATAACAAATACTTCCTGTACTACTGCACATGTGTAAGCCAGTGTGGTGGTTGCTGTTGCCGTTTCTGAGCTAAGCAGTAGGAGTCGCTATAGGCTGAGGTTGGATTAGACTTTTGTGGAAGGTTTGTTTTCGTTGTAGTGGACCGCAGTGCGAGGCAAGGGTGGAGAAAAGGATTTTGTATTACGCAACAGGGGGAATTTTTGTTGTAGGGGGAAGCAGAAAACAGGGAAAGGCTTTCATGCATGAAGATTTTTTCCCACTCAGGGGTATTTTCGCACATGTAGGTTTCGTTGTAGAGGACTTTCACTGTATGTGGACAAAAGTTTGCCTCCATGGATGGCTGTCAATGGAACTCGCCCCTTGTATTTAGTGATGATTTAGCTGCTGATAAAAGTAGCATCATCAATTTTGAAGTGTTTTGGGTGATGTTATCTACTCATCCTCAGCGAAATGCTTCAAAAGTTATCAAATAGTGCGTCACGATACAGACGGACATTGACCGAAAGTATACTGCAAAAGCAACCAATGGCCAAGTCAACCTGACTTGCGTCCAACTGAGTCTGCATTCCACTTTTTAAAATGATGGGGAAAGGCTCCAAGACCAAGCAAGAAATTAAGATACTTGCGGTAGAAGCCTGGCAGAGCATCACCAGGGATGAAATCCAGCATCTGGTGATGTCTTGACATTGCAGACTTTAGACTGTAATTGACGGCAAAGAATTTGCAACCAAGTATCAAAGAGTCAAAGTTTGAATTTTGATTGTTAATTGCTCCCATTGCTGGCCTTAAAAAGTGCCTTAAAAAGTGGGAGTCCTATATCTAAACTCTTTTAATTAATTCCTACACCGTGATTTGGATGTAAATGGAGCTCCTGTGCCAACAAGTCGTGCTTTTTGGCATAGCGTTATATCGCTTTGGCATTACAAGTCAGCCCCTTAGTGCAAACAACCACTTCTCCGATGTGGCCCCAATGAAAACTGGTTTGACACTGCGGTGCTAATAGCACCCCCCACCCCACAATCTGGTTTCCATCTGACTGACCAAACTGAAGGTAGCGAGCGCATTGGATCCTGATGCACCAACCCGCAACGACGGAGCAGCCAGGCGCTGTCTAATGAGCCTCAAATCTATCTTTGGCCGCCATCCTCATCATCATTGTCACCATCATGTGCTCTTCCCATGCTGCGATGGAGCCGATTCAACTCCAGAAAGTAATAGATGAATAGAGGATTTTCTGAAATGGAACATCCCAATCATGCGCGCACTCACACCCACACAGCCTCAAACACAAATAGAAGCAAGTGGTGACTTTCTAATCAGAGCCACTTTCAGACTGAAGCGGATGTACCGTACTTTGATCACAAGATGTCATTCAAGCATGTGGACGCAAAAAACAACTCACATTCCCCCCCTTGCGGCAGAGTCCAGGACTGGACACACTCAGCGGTTCTCCTGGTAGGTCCTGCCCTCTAGTGGCGTCCTTTGTGCCCAGCAGTAATTTCATCTGCTTTGGTTGGACCCAAAGCATTTGGCAGAGACTCCATCCAATTTTGTGTTTTGCCAGCTTTGCTGATTCAGATTTCATGTTTGCTATTCATATTCCTTCTTTATTGGTTTAATGAGCAGGAACAATTACGTTCCACAAAATTGAAGAAGAAGATGGGTCGATATTGCAAATAGTGAAATGCGGAAGCAATTTAATTTGCTTTGGATTTATATTCTAAGAAAAGCAACCCCTATGACTTCCAAAAGCTTTATTCGTGTTTCGCTAGGAAGTCGGCAAAGCTATTACGGCTAAAATATGGCTGCAATATCATTTTTCTAAGCTATTAAAAGATCATCGTGTAGAGATGTTTGTTGACTTCGCCATAGCTGCCCCTCATACTTTCCACCTGCCCCGTGTCAACCGTTCCAGACCTTCAAGTTCCTGGGATTCACAGTCTCTCAGGACATGAAGTGAGAGGCCAACATTAACTCCATCCTGAAAAAGGCCCAGCAGAGGACGTACTTCCTGAGGCTGCTGAGGAAGCACGGCTTGCCACGGGAGCTGCTGAGACAGTTCTACACAGCGCTCATCAAATCAATCCTGCGTTCCTTTATCAAAGTCTGGTGTGGGGCTGCCACAAAAAAGGACAAAATCTGACTGCAACAGACAATTAGGACTGCGGAAAAAAATCAGTGGCACCGCCCTACCCACTCTCGAGGACTTGCACTCCGCAAGAACCAAGACAAGGGCACGGAAAATCCTACTGGACCACCCACACCCTGCCCACCACCTTTTCCAACTACTCTCCTCAGACAAGCGCTACCGAACCATGCTCACAAAAACCAGCAGACATTCAAACAGCTTCTTCCTTCTCGCCATTAACTCCCTAAACAGCAACTTAAATCTCGAGTGGCTCTTTGCATTTTTGCACACCTCTGTGAAACAGTATTACTGCAATGGTCATTGTAGCTCCAGCTCTCGACATACTTGAACAATTGTCGATCAAGATTCCACAGAACCAGACACTTTCAAGCGCTCAAGGACTTTCTGTATAATTGCACACCTAAAGATGTACCACAATTACTGCTACTGGTCACTTAAAAAATGGTGCAACCATTATCTGCATCAATTGCACAACCGTTACAGTATTGTATTGCCCAACTGATCACTTTATCTCTGCTAGATGACGCTGCATTGTCTTTCGATACTTACTTGTTATGTCTTTGTTTATTGTAGTTACATTAGAAACCACTAAAATGGCAACTATCAAGGAATTAATACTAGCTCTACCCTCAATTGGCAGACAACGTATATCTGTGCATCTATTATAAAATATTTGGCATAGGAACCACAAATGAAGCATCACAATGCAAATATCAAATAACTGCTACGATCAAATAATGTTTGAACGTCAAATGTTTGTCTGCATTGGGATGAATCAAGGAATATTTGCAAACCAGCATACTCTTAGGACTCAAAACAACACTACTAGTCATGCTCCAAAAGTTAAGATGTGATGAGAAATTTTAGGAGAAGCCATATTCTCCTGTATCCTATCCTTTATTTTGCAGGTCAAGCGTTGTAGCACTTTGTTAGCATCGTACATGTACCTTTGCCTCACCTGCTCTTGAGTCTCTCCTTGAGGAGGCGTGAAGACCGCCCAAGACTGACCGGCAGCTCTGGCCATATCTTTTGCATCTTGCAATCGCTTCCCCTCTGCTATCCCAAAGCTCTGAAAAAAAAAAAAAGAAATGCAAAAACTATCGGTAAGTGGTTTATCTGACAGGAATAGCTTTTGCACGTGTCTGAGGGAGCTTCGATTTGACTGACTTTCTCCTTGAGTAGAGGGTCACACACCAGCTGTAGACCGGCGCAACTACTGTTGTGTTTCACGATGGTTTCGGCAGTCTGCGAAAGGAAGAACGGCAATTAACCATCCGGTTTTTGATAAGGCTTATCCTGTTCTATGTCACGGGGAGCTGTCAATCCCGGGGTACATGGAGAGAGGGACTAACTTTCACACTTTCATTACGTGGGAGTTGTGCCCACGCCGCCTGCACACAAGTTATTCAATCAACACGTTTGAAAAGGGTCATTGTTTAACATGCACACACAAACGGCACAGCAGAGATTTGAACCTCAAACCTTAGAACTGTGAGGCAGACGTGGTAAGAATTCTGCCACTCATGTTAAAATGTGACTTGATGTGCTTTGCAAGTGAATAATGGTTTTAATCTGGACCTGATTAATTCTGCTTCCATTATTTTCCCCCAGGAAAAATAGGCTCTAACCAGCATTGCAGATCAGACTGTGTTTGGTCTTTGTTTCCAATGAGTCATTTTTCCTTTTGGAAGGAGACATCTCTTTCTCTCTCTCGCTCCTATTCTAATTAGAAAACATCAAACCTGTCGCGCTCGCAGCATGTCACTGACAAACAGGTTGGAGAACTTGACATCCTTCAGGTAGCGACCTGCAGCCTCGGCCTGCTGCAGTCCCACTTCAGACAACGGACAGTCTATAGTCTGGCCTGGATTCAAGACAGACGGAATACAATAAAGTGACAGAAAATACTGTACATCGTTTGCGTCTTTTTAACAAAATAATAATACCTTACCTTGAAGCAGGCCCTCTTTATTGAACTCTGTTTCTCCACTGTAAGAAATACATTATTATATCATTCAACATATTACACAGGAAAGTAAAAAGCTACCACTAAACCGATGGCACACTCATGATCCTTGTTTGACTTTTGGCTTGGTCCCTTTCATGATGTTTTTAATTTCATTGTATTGATTTCATTTAGAAGGGACAGTGCATCTGCCCTGCGACTGACTGGCGACCAGTTCAGGGTGAAGCCTGCCTTCCGCCCAAAGTGAGCCGGGCTAGCCCCCAGCAACTCCCCGCGACCTTGTTCAGAATAAGCGGTGTTGAAAAAGGGTGGATGGATGGGACAGAGCATATTAATTAAGTTTTACATGTAAATATGTCAGGTCATAGCTGTCTGCTAGTTTCCATCTGTAGTCCCTTGGCATAGTCAAGAAGACATATAATGCTCCAAAGTACAAAGATGATTTATTCAGTTTTCATTTGACTGTTTTAAATCCATGACCTAGAAATGTTTTGATAGAAATGATTACTCATGATTTTTTTCCGTTGTGTTATCGTTGGTGGACTGCAGTGCGTTTCGATTTACGTCAAACTGGGTTACGTCGCTGGCTAACGACACACTGAGGTTTTATGTAAGAAATATTATGTGCATGGCTTTGAGTTGGACGACATTAACTCTGCTTATAGCAACGTGTTATTTAAAGCAAGTGCTTCCACCTGTGTAAACCACACGCAATCTATTTAGGGCGGAAGTGAATACTGCGATACCGAGAAAGGATTATGATTTTTTTTTGTGCACTCTGCCGTTCACTCTGGTATACTACACAGTCACCGAGCAATCAATTCAAGTCATGATGTATTAAATACATTTGTTGCTAACAGTATGGATTCTACGTCAGATTTGTTAGCTCGTGGCTATGTTCTCAGCAAAGTTGACAGACAGAGTGTGGCTGTATGTGCTCTCTGTGATTTGCTGCTGCACTTACTGTCGAACAAATGTCAAGCCGAACGTGAACGCCTTCATTTCCTGGAGAGCGCCCACAAAGCAAAAAGCCTTCCGTTTCAATTATGAGCTGCTTTCGACACGTTATGACCTGAGTTTCACAGCCGCAAATATATGTCGACGACCCTACTTCCCGGTAACCCCGAACGTCAGGCATACTGTCGATGATATGTACGCAAGTTGATTTTGAAGAGTGTCGTTTTGCCACAATTACGGTAAAGGCAGTGCAATTTTTTTTCATTTTCTGAAACCGTATGCACATTCGCAAGCGATGGATTGCTACTTTTAGTCGTAGAATATGAAAAAAATAAAAGAAATAATAAATAATAATTTTTGGGGAAAAAAACTAATTATGTTGAGTTCGATTTACATGCTGATTAAAACTGAAACTGGCATGCTGATTACAAAATTGCCGTCAATTTTTTTAGCCCGTCATGTTTTTTTTTCTGTACAGTTTACCAGACAAGCAAAATTCCGTTGATTTGCTGTTGTAAACTCGCCAGTTTATTACGATTGGACTCATCTGCAGCTCCGTGGCAATTTGTTTGGGAAGTCACAACTGAGACAGACAGTTGCCATCTCCCAAAAGGCCAGTACAATGTTGAAGGAAGGTATTTTGAGCATTGATACAGATTTTGAGCAATATAAATGTCAATTTGACATTTTAAAGGGTATACTGTACAGTACCGTACAGTACCTACTTTCTTGGAGGCATACAGAGTATTGGTAGCTATTAGTTAAAACTCGTCAATCTCTACTTCCGGTTTCACTTAATTGAGCTCTGTATCTGCTTTGACCAAAATAAAATATCTATTTTTGGAGTTGACATTGTTTATTTTATAATATATTAGTATAACCGATCATAAACATTTTGATTGTGGAAGTCAATTGCAGACTGAAAGCTGGTCAAATAGGCTACTGTCGTCTGGAAAAGAAATATGGTTGAAGGGGTGAAATTTATGCAAAACAAACATTTCTCAACATAATGCTGAAGATGATTGAGATCTTGTGTAGTTAATACCAATTACCTGTATATATATGAAAAGCAATTGTGCGTGTACCTAACATTGTCAGTGGGTCTACAGCACAGGTGTCAAACTCGGCCCGCGACATCATCTTATGTGGCCCGTCAAAGCAAATTTTGTTTCTAGCTAAACTATCAAAATTGTAAATTGTCTTCACTTTTAAAAGCGTTCGGATATTGCAAGCATTTTTGTAACCGATCTCTCTTTTAAAATAAGTGTAACAATATCTGAACAAAAATGGCCTCTGACAACTGTAGTTAATATTCAATTTGCTGTGTTTATAAAATATGAGGCAATTTGGGTTCACAGTTCAAGGAAAACCCTCACTACAAAGTGGCCCATGACAAAATTAAATTTGACACCCCTGGTCTACAGACATCAAATAACAGACACTGTTACAGGTGCCGTTGTTTTCAAACTACTTTTAATTTTATATATAAATAAATATATGCATGGCGGCACGGTGGTCAACTGGTTAGCACGTCCGCCTCACAGGCTTCGATTCCAGACCCCGGCCTTCCTGTGTGGCGTTTACATGTTACCTGCGTGTTGTGCCTGCGTGGGTTTTCTCCGGGTACTCCAGCTTCCTCCCTCATTCCCAAAACATACACGGCTGGTTATTGGAACACTGTCTAAATTGTCCCTAGGTGTGAGTGTGAATGGTTGTTATTTTGTCTGTGTGTGCTCTGTGACCGCTGTACTTACTTTGCAGTGCTGTATGCTCCCTATTGCACACACACACACACACACACACACACACACACACACACACACACACACACACACACACACACACAACTCAGGAAACATGTTTGTAAAAAGGAAGCGAGGCAGGGAAAAGAGCAGTGAACTGATGTGGTGTCACACCCTTTAAAGCAGAAGTTTATTGAACAGAGGTTGTGCAACAGACAGTTGAGGTACATGATATGGGATCTCGTGGGGAGGGGGACGAGTCAAAGGGAAATGTGCTCCACTCAAACTTCCAGATATCACAATATTTATGGGTCGAAATGACAAGTGTAATAACACACACACACGCACCCACACATGCACATTATCTCCGATTTCAGCACAAAATATGTCATTCCCGCATTGGGAATCCATATTGGCGGACGTTCAGGGTGATTGTGAGTGAATAAAGCAACAAGTGTACTTTGGCCATCATAGCAACGCTGTTGTAACCTCTGTCACCCACAACATGTCAGATGTAGCACCAACATGAGCAAATGATGCTAGAACACCCCCAGAAATGTTGAGGACCCCCCTCCCCTCCAGTACGTCCAAGTGGAAGGCAAACAGCGGCACATCCACAAAATGCAAATTTGTTGTTTTTCTATTCTAGTCCAGGCTCCCTAACTGCAGAGGTATCGATGATGGATTGGTTGGTTTTGTATGATTATTTTGTATGTAGCCAGAAATCCTGAGGTACAGGACATATACCACCGATGCAGAATGTGACTGAAGAAAAAGAGCAAAATAGATTCAAAAAGGGGGTAAAGGAGACATGCTATCTAAGCAAAACGTCAAACTGTACAAAGAACATTTCCAGTCGAATACTCATTTCATGTTCTTCTATCACCTTCTACTTCGTTTTTCTGAATTTATCTCTTAAGCAGTAAAATAATTATATTATAATACAAATGTTTATAAAATAGCAGCACACTCAAGTGACACATCACAACTCTGTAATGTTATTTTGTATAAATGAAACAAATTCATAGCTTTTAGCAGCGCAAAAAGACAACAATAACTCAATAAAAATATTGACATTTTTTTTTTCTTGATGTCTTCACACCTCCTCTGTCCTCTCTTCACTTTGGAATACAGTATCTCTAAATCTTAGAAAGAAAACAAAAACCCTTTTGTGGGTCTGGTCACCCCATAAAATACATCAAACACAAATTGAAAGTGTGGTCTCAATATATAACACACGCAACAAGACATTGCAGGAAAGACATTAAGTTTGGGTGAGAGCTTACATCCGGCAGAGGCAAAATGAAGGGAGGGCAATTTTCTCAAAACGGGATGTTTTGGCAAATCAAATTGCCAAAATCAAAATCAACACAAAAACATCCCCACATTTTCTTCAGTCTGACAACAAGCAATGTCGCTCATGGAAACAAACAAAAACTCTAGCACACGTGAAAGTCCAAAAAAACGAAAAACACGGTCGTGTCTCTCTGCCTGATGAACCCCCTCGTCGATTATTCGAAGCAGCAAAGCTCAAAGAGGACTGAATGACACGTCGCATAGCCTCACACAATGTTGTCGAACATTTCTGCAATTTCAAGCCAGCACCATAGAAAGTGAACAGCCACTAATACACACATCACTTGCGGTGGTTTGGAAACTTAAAAAAAAAAAATCATTGGCCTCTGTAGAACATGTGCAAATATTGGATGTTACGACCACCCGAGCACCCGAGCGCCGCCCTGTGTGACACGACTGTGGCTGTGATGCAGATAAATAGAAAGAAATATTCAAGTACAAAAAAAAAAAAAAAAAATCATGACAGTGTAAAGGAAAGCCACAGATGAGGGAACTGTGTGTCTTGGCCTTTGTTTTTGTTCCAATCCTTGGACATGGACAGGCTCCTTGGGTCAAGTTGGTCTTTGCTTGAATCGGAATGTTGGTTTTGATTGGAATGTCCCGTTTTATGTGACTGTTGCTTGACATGAGGGGGTGATTGGGAAACCAGCCCTACAAAGTAAACCAAAGGAAAGGATACAAATAACAAGTAAAATGAAACACCCACCCACCTCCAAATCACCACCAATTCATTTTGACGTATCTCCTGGGGAGCATGTTCTCAAAGTGCTTTGCCATTGAAATCGGATAGGGAGCTGAACACGGCCCTATGCGGGACTCCAGATGCATTGACAATATCTTGTACTCCTCCAAGGAACAAAAAGGAAACTCATCCTCATACGATCTGGTAGCCTTAGTTCCTCATTTAGCATCCATGTAAATGGAAACCAGCACATTATTTTTTTTTCTCTAAATTCAACTCAATTACCTGTGTTATAGTACACCTCCATAAAGAGAATTTGAATTCCACCTTATTATCCTGCTCTCAAACCTCAATCGGGCGCTTTATTCGTCATTCAGCCACTGGCTGTATACATCAGCAGCAGGCTCCCACGTCGCGACACCCTTCGCCATTCGATTTCAATCATCCATCCAAACTATCTTTTCTCATTCTTTCCACACCCTGTGGCCTCCCTTCTAATGAACACGGGAGTCCGCCCCCCCCAACCCCTGTCCTCCTGTCTTTTGAGGCATTGTCCTCTTCGCTGTTCAAATGTGCTCCAAAACGCTTCGTGCTGGAGAGTTCTGCACTTCCAAATCCTCCATTGACTAAAGGAAACGCAACATCGTAACACCACGTGACAATATGTGGTCATATATCATGAACAGAATGGCAGAAATACAACAAAACGTCTCGCGTGACCTGTGAGGCTGAGGTCATTCAAGACTTTTGAAACATGCTCGAAGAAGGGCTCCGAGTGAAGTGAAGGTCCCTTCACTCAAATGAACTCCGTCTCATTCATAGCCCATGCAGCAGTTTATTGCTGGCCAACAACAGACCTCGATACACTGCCAATGAATGAAGGCAGTGACATAGCATAGATGCCCCGTTATACTGATAGACAAAGTATGTATGTAACCTCAGCCTGCTCCATCGTCTTCTAACATTGTAAGTGCCTCGCGCCCTAGAATGTTTACTGCTAATTTTCGATACAGGATCCCATTCAGACTGCGCACACATATACACACGCACATGCTGAGGCACGCCGAACCCACTAGCTGACCCACACATACAAGCAGCCTGACAAAGGAGCTTATTGATCTTGACTACTCAAAATATGTCCAATAATATTACGGCTAATAATAATTACTACAACTTCTAATGATGATTCAAATGATCCTGTCGCACCCCTGGATTTGGGACCCACCAATGTAACGCATACTGTTGTCGGGGCTTCCTCTCTACATCTCACTGATGGTCAGAAGATAACATGAATATATATCAAAATAGAGAGTGAGGAAAAAAAAAATAATACCTAAGCCCATACATTGCTCCCACGAATGCAACTTTCTGCCAACCAGCTATGGTTACAATATAACTTAATGATCATTCTATACAATCAAAGGCAGAATGCAAATATGATTGGTTTCCCTTCTGTATATCCAAGGCACCACGGAGCAGTATCGTGCCCCAAATCTGTTGCTTTTAGATTAAAAAAAAAATGTAGATTTCATGGGCAGGTGTTTTTTTTATCTTGAACAGAAAAATCTACAAAAAACTAGCAAGCATTGTTCTTTTTCTTTTAAAGGGCTTGTGTTTTTAGCATTTTGTTTTTTTGTTCTTTTTTTCTGCTTTTAGGAAACTTTTTTTTTCATGATTCATATTTTTTTTTTGTTGCTGTTGTTGTAAATCCTGCACAATGAGGCCCTCTTCTGGTTCACAAGTTGATGTCACGGACGTCTGTCGGGGTGGAGGACTGATCCAGCTCTTCCAGGCCTTTACTGCTCGTGCCTCTCTGACTCTGCTGCTGCTGTTGCTGCTGCTTCCGGCCCTCGCGCAGGCTGCTCTCTAACACACGCTCGATCTGCTCCTGGCACTCTTTGAGGACATCCTGTAATGTCACAAGAGAGACACGCACATTTAGAATTCGGTTGACAAAGCAAAGAACGAATCATGTCTGTCATAGGTTTTTAGAATCTGGAACCACATTCTGTTTTAAAAATTCTGTCCCAAAAGCTGCAATCTAATTTGTTTTCAGATCAATCGCATTCATATCACTATATCTATCTGAAACATCTGACTAGAACGTATTCATCTTATTTCCAAATGGCTGAACATGAGCAAAAGTAGAGTTGCCGCACCCCCCCAAAAAAAAAATCGCAACTGAACTGGCAACCCAGAAGCCGCATGAGGACTCAAAGTGGCCCTCGAATAATTATCAAAAATTAAGGATTTTTTTTTTTCTCTTACAGGACCGCTCGCTGATCAGCTTTAATTTGTCACAACAGTGTCCACCAATAGATGGCAGACATCGCTCAAGACAGTACTTGGTCTTCAAAGAGAGGAGCAGGTCCTGTCAAAATTAGGTCAAGAAAATTGTGTGAAATAAGAAGATTATATTGTCACTGAATTTCTGCCTAGTTTGCTTGCAGATGCTATCAGCCATCAAAGATTTCAACCTAAGTTGCCATTACAACACCGAAGACTAAAGCACACACACGGCAATCCCCAATCACCCCACAAGAACCGTTGACAGTTCGTTTGAAGTGTATAAGCATCTTCGAAAACATGGCATGTTCAATACTCAATAGTGCTACCAACGCGCATGGTGGCTAAAGTGGATAAGCGACTGTTGTGATTATCACCGGTGATGCAGAGGAAACCCGATGGATATAAACTTTACTGCCCAAAAACTGCACTGTTGCACAGGTGAGTGAGCCAGCCAATTAATTTGGAGATTTTGCATGACATGCAGGACGAACATATGGTAGTACAGTAAATATTCCCATCCCCGGAATTCTATGAAAAGGAATATCCTTCACCCGGAACAAAAGCCTGTGCATTAACATTTTGAGTACGATATTACATGTTACTGGAACTTACGTAAGCGGAAATTCCACTACCCGTAACCCGGATGAGACGTCATGCCGCGGGAGCTTAAATAGATGCAAAGCCCACCCGATGCTACGGAATGACGACACCGAGACACATTTTCACTTTGCGTTTTTCGACCATCAGATTCGAAACGACGACGTGTAAGTGAGTTTTTATTGGCGTGCGTTTTACTGTAATTGTGAATGATTTTAACTTTATTCACTTAACGTCCTGTAGAACGCGGCACTAGCTTAAAAGCAGCACCCACTCGACAC